ATCAAATAAGGTACAAATACAGACGGACAGACAGACAGACACACACACACACACACATGGAATCAAATAAGGTACAAATATATATATACAGACAGACAGACACACACACATGGAATCAAATAAGGTACAAGTATGTATACAGACAGACAGACACACACACACACACACACACACAGAGACATGGAATCAAATAAGGTACAAGTATGTATACAGACAGACACACACAGACATGGAATCAAATAAGGTACAAGTATATATACAGACAGATGAACACACACAGAGACATGGAATCAAATAAGGTACAAGTATATATACAGACAGACAGACACACACACACACAGAGAGAGACATGGAATCAAATAAGGTACAAGTATGTATACAGACAGACACACACACACAGAGAAGAGTACCATGGAAAATACAAAATCAGTATTTATGCTTTTGTGTTTGTGTGTATGTTTTTATTTATTTGTTTTAAATTAATAGTAATAAAAATTGTTTTAGATAATTCTAAAGATGTTTCATTTTTATTAATCACTTGCCTGAACAAAATATATTTTATTCCATGTGTGTGTGTGTCTGTCTGTATATATACTTGTACCTTATTTGATTCCATGTCACTGTGTGTGTGTGTGTGTCTGTCTGTATATATACTTGTACCTTATTTGATTCCATGTTTAAAACTTCCTGCATTTTTATATGTTTCAAACTCCTCCCGCGTGTTAAACTATGTAACATTTAATGTGGTTGTAAATTTATTAACAAAATAATTTTCATAAAATAATCTCTTATTCTTTTCACAAGAATATCAAAATGGAAATATTTAAAAAAAAGGCTTCTTCTAAAAGTCCATAATAGACTTGTTAATGAGTTTCTTAACAGGTCATTGTTTGCATTTTTGACATGAGATTTATGTAAATGAAGAGATAACTGTAAAGTTTTACGGTAAAAACTTGTGGTGTTCATTTAGGAGGTTTTAGATGTTATGAAAAACTGAATTATGAAAAGAAGTAATTATATTGTATTTTGAAGTAATTAAATATATCATATCTTAAAGTAATTAAATATATCGTATTTTGAAGTAATTATATCGTATTGTGAAGTAATTATATATATATATATATCGTATTTTGAAGTAATTATATTGTATTTCTCTCCATGTCAGTAAAGGCTTTGTGAATTAAGACAAATCTTTTTTAAGAATACTTTATCAAAAATTAGACCTGTAATGTTTACTACAAGCTTGTCAAATTCCGTGAAGATGTACTTAATGCTTTTGGAGTTATTGTTTTCATGGTTACAAGGTCAGCCAAAATATATTTGGAGGGTTAGCTGGCTATTAAAAGCCGTAATACGGACTGCGTCCTATGTTATTTTGATGTAAACATTTGATCCTCACGAACTTTTTGTATTAGCTGTTAGTGTGTAGGATAATCAGGTCTTGTATTTCAAATTAATTATCTCGTTCTTCATTCGGCCAAGTGTAAAATTTTGTGAAAGTACCAATATTCGTGTAATCTTTTACATTTTTGTAGATTGTGGCTTTAGCCGATCCTGTCGGTGTTCCATCCCAAGTATCTCAACCAATAATGTACATGTGTTTTTCTGTTTTTGCAGGTAGGAAATCACATCAACTCTCAGGATGGCAAGTGGACTGCTGTTGATTCTGGAATTGGTGCCGGGGTTGATTCATACTTTGAATACCTTGTTAAAGGTGCCATCTTACTTCAGCTTCCTGAATTAATGGAGATGTTTAATGGTAATATATAGATCTCAAAATATATGTTACAGGTATAGAGGCCTGACATGGCCTGGTGCATAGAGCTCTTTACCCACAATCTGAGGGTCACAGGTTCGAATCCCCATCCCACCAAACATGCTTACCCTTTCAGCCATGGGGGAATTATAATTGTGACAGTCAATCCCATTATTCATTGATAAAAGAGTAGCCATAGAGTTGGCGGTGGGTGGTTATAGCTAGCTACCTTCCCTCTAGTCTTACCCTGCTAAATTAGGGATGGCTAGTGCAGATAGCTCTCATGTACCTTTGCACGAAGTTCAAAACAAACAAACATAACTATATGCCATGCATCGAAGCTTGGAAAATGTTGCTTAAAATGAAATATAGTAACTTAGACAGTGTGGGAGATATCTAATCTCAACATTTCCTGCTATATGCAAGTGAAAAATTTGTAGGTATATAACAGAAAACTGTTCAAAGCAACATCATCCCAACTTCTATAACTGATATTATAGTATAATTATTATGATATATGTACCACGTGAAACATCCAATCACTCTTAAGACTGTTAATTTACATAAAACTTGGATACTTGGCAGACTAAGACTAATCCATTAATAACTACATCCAAATTAGTAACTTAGGTCATGACCTGATTCACTGTGACATTTAACCCTATCCTGCTATCTGAATTTCTGAACTATCATAGGTTAAGCTGACATAAAGTTTTCAATCTCAACTTTTTCTGTACAAAGGAATGATTCTTGACTTGTGGTCGTATTAGTTTTTTATTGTGACATCCTGACCTGTCGTTGTATCAATAAAATGGCACTTTTGATTGGTAAATCAGGGTGATCTTGCCTTTTCTCCCAGGAAAAATGCCTAATGTAGCTAAATTCCACATCAGACCTGTGTATTCCTCCACAGCGATTAGAGCCAAATGAGGTAAACTTTAGACTCTTACAAAGGTTGAACATTTGACCTTCATGTTTCTGTCTAAAAACTAAAGAGCCAGTCACAGCTTCCCCAATACGTAAAATTGAATTAACCTAGTAGTTACGTCAGTTCTTGTTTTATATATCGTATAATGTAATAATTAATTTTATTACTGGGCTCAGAGAAGCTTGTTTCAGCTTAACGAGCAAATCTCAGTTCACCCACATCATAGCATGTAGTTTTTATGTGAATTGACAAGATCTTAAGAGTAGTTGGTTGGATGGTTGTTTCATGGGGTACACTATTAGTCTGGTTTTAAATATAACAATAACTTAGTATCATTATACAATATTATCATTGTTGAAATTTAGTTGAATGGACAACAACTGCCTGTTGCAGAAACACAAGTGTAGAGGACGAAATTTTGAAAGTCGAAGACGAAAGGTTGGAAGATTTTCGAAATGTCGTCCTCTACACTTGTTTTTCTACAACGTTTTTGAAAGGCGGAAGACTTCTGAAACGTCGTCGTCTACACTTGTGTTTCTACAATAGGCAGTTGCCGTCCATTCATCTAAATTTCATCATGAATACTCCGCCTAAACAAACTATCGAAGAATGTTATCGTTCCTACAACTGGCCATAGACAAGAATAACATGATTGTATCACAACTGCGCTGTTTCTTCTGTTGTATGCCTACTAGTTTTTCGTGTACAGTTAGTAAATACACAACAATTTTGTATGCTGTTACTACGCTATCTACTTTCTAATATTTATCATTTCGGATAACTGATTTTTTTCACTTTAAATAGTTATGTCTACAAAGTGGAGCAGAAGTAACTTGCCCCAAGTCTTAAGAAATGATATACATTTTAAACTGTTATACATTGAAAACTATCCAATGCAAATGACAATAATTATTGCCAGGAAAATTTAATTAACCACTAATAGTGTAATACTTATTATGACACAGAATAAAGACTTTGGGGCATGTTCATTTTTTTTTTTTTCATCGTGTAGGTATGTGTATATATAATAAGAACTGGGTGATTAACTCAATTAATTAACATCAGTGATTGTCTATGAGCAACAATTACATTAACTATTGTCACTTTAAATAAATGATTAATCAAAATTACTGTTTCCAATTATTCAAACAATACAAGTCTCGTGTGAAATGGTGGTATCAGTCCGACTCGGATTCAAGTTGGACTGTAAAGTTTGCATTTGCATATCCTCTAGAATCTATGAAATTCATATCTAGAGTTTATTTTTCAGTAACGCTTTAATGTCCTCTAATAATAATTCATACTGCTAACATCAAATACATAATAAAATAAAAGGCTTTGGATTGTGCACTTTGACCCCCCACCCATGCACGTAAGGTTAAAAGGTTTATCTTAGTGCCGTGGTAAACTGAGTTCTCTCCTATCTCGTAAGTCAAAAAATACTTAAAAGGTGTATGTGTGTGTGTTGTTTTGGTACATAACTCCGTGTGAGGGGTCAGCTAGTCTTAAAAACAATAAAAAAAATTTCTCCAGTTGCAATGAATAATTTTGATTACATCAAAACATTTATTTGTGTTTTATTTCAGTTAATACAACTTATGTTTGTTATATTACAGCTTCCCCAAAACTTGTATTTTGTATTCAGAAAGTTGTAGCTATAAACTGTTTTTTTTTACACTTATTTTGTCTTGTGTATATTAATTCTTAGCTTTATCATAGTAGTACTGTAGATGTGTATGAAATATTGCAAGAGAATTCTTATAAATGGATTTTTGCTTCTAGTTCTTGAAATTGTATGCATGTAGTAGTCTTAACATGCATGTTGAACATGCAAATATTTGAATTGTATGCGTGTAGTGGTCATAACATGCATGTTAAACATGCAAATATTTGAATTGTATGCGTGTAGTGGTCATAACATGCATGTTAAACATGTAAATATTTGAATTGTATGCGTGTAGTGGTCATAACATGCGTGTTAAACATGCAAATATTTGAATTGTATGCGTGTAGTGGTCATAACATGCGTGTTGAACATGCAGATATTTGAATTGTATGCGTGTACTGGTCATAACATGCGTGTTAAACATGCAAATATCTGAATTGTATGCGTGTAGTGGTCATAACATGTGTGTTAAACATGCAAATATTTGAATTGTATGCATGTACTGGTCATAACATGCGTGTTAAACATGCAAATATCTGAATTGTATGCGTGTAGTCATAACATGCGTGTTAAACGTGCAAATATCTGAATTGTATGCGTGTAGTGGTCATAACATGCATGTTAAACATGCAAATATTTGAATTGTATGCGTGTAGTGGTCATTAATTCAAATATTTGCATGTTTAACACGCATGTTGTTTACGTATCAGAATGACTTCAAATAATAAGAAACTGTTGTAATTTATTATTCCAACATATTAACTCATAAAACAGTCAGCTGATCACCATGTAGATTTTTCACATAAGCTGTGAAATAAATCATTAATACTAGTTTTTCACATTAGGTAAAAATTTATTTTTTGGCTAGTAAATATTTGTTGCATTCTGTTATGATACTATGTTTTATCATTAATTATTATACCAGTGTTAATTAACTTCAATATAAACTTTTGACATAGTGTTGTACAGCTTACAGGCAACCCATTGAAAAATATATGAAACGCGATGACTGGTATTTATGGGTCAGCATGAACAGTGGACAAGTGACCATGCCGGTCTTTCAGTCGTTGGAAGCATACTGGCCAGGGATATTGGTATGTTTAAATTTTTTTTTATCAAAAGTTGAGAAGTTTTTAAGACTAACTATTAATTCTTATAATTCTTGGTTTATTTTACAAGAATTACCAAATTAAATTCCTTTGGTGAAACCAGGTAAGTTCTGTCAGTATAATTTGGTATAACCTAGTAAATTCTCCTGGTATAACTTGGTATAATCAGGTAAATTCTTTCAGTATTACCAGAAGGGCTAGTCAGTTCTTACCAGGACAGCAAGTTTATTGCTCGTGGGACAGATATTTTTTTTTTTTTACTTAATTATATTTTAATACGACTGAAATTATTGTGTCATCAACATTATAAGATTTAAAATAGCAGTGTTGCACTTAAAATGTATACTGTGGAAGCATAAATCAATAAAAAATATACTGTCTACCTGGTAAATTATTAATGTAAATATAATATCAGAAGTCGCATTAGTTTAAAAAAAATTTAAACACACACACTAAGTATATTCTTGTTCAACAGTAATGCCCACTAATTTCCGATTTAACAGATTAACTAAGTTAGTACGCATCACCTCCAGTAATTAGTGCCTAACATTTGAACACCACTTATATACACGGTGGTGTATGGGATACTGGATACCGTAAAACTGACTGTTAACTTCTTGCACTGTTGAAATGCTTAGAAATGGTGAAACTTTTGCAAAAATATTGTGTACCTTTTTATTCCATACAATCGCTTTACGAGTATATAAGCATGTTTACGACAATTTTGATGCCTTGAGTGTTATATCTATAACTACGCAGCTACTCGTAACTTTTTAACCAACCAAGGGCCCCCTCAGTGGCACAGCGATATGTTTGCGGACTTACAACGCTAGAAACCGGGTTTCGATACTCGTGGTGGGCAGAGCATAGATAGCCCTTGTGTAGCTTTGTGCACAATTAAAAACAAACGAACCAACCAAGGAAAATTAATAATCATAACCCGTTATATTTATCAGACCAAGACAATATACTTAGCCAAAGTAAAAACCTGGTATTCTTCAAGTAGCTTTAATTTAAGGTCAACATAAAAATTTAAATAACCAATTAGTTTTGGAAAATCAAACTTTTGATAATTATAACTTTATCTTTTAAAAACTATTAGTGAATGTATAAGAGTAGAACTATTTAGGTAATGTATACTGTTGTGTTAACAACAATGTTTCACTTCTCCATGCTATCTGCTGTAAAGTTTTATTTTTTACAATGATGGTATAATTCAATCACTTTTTTCAGTATTTTTTATGTAAAAGAAGAGAAACTTTTACTATAATAAGGCTTAGCATAGACAGGTGATTAGGGTGCTCGACTCAATCTGCATGTCGTTGGTTCGAATTCCTGTCCCACCAAACATGCTCACCCTTTCAGCCATAGGGGGGATGTTATAATATGATGGTGAATCCCACTCTTTGTTGGTGAAATAGTAGCCCAAGAATTGGCAGTGGGTGGTGATGACTAGCTGCCTTCCTTTTAGTCTTTCACTGCTAATTTAGGAACGACTAGAGCATATAGCCCTCGTGTAGCCTCGCGCAAATTCAAACGAAACCACTATAATACCGTAGTATTTTGGATAAATCATTGTCAACCACAGAAGTCCTTAAGTAACCTAAATAAATGAAATGTAATTTTGTGATATACAAGTTTTTATTGTTATAGTTTTACCTTACAAACCCAATATGGAATAAGTAATAAGAAAACCCTGAGTCTAATCAAATAGTATTAGTTTTATTGTGGTGACAACACTGTATAAATTAGGGGTGTGGCCTAATGAAAAGCTAATTCACCCCCTGTTACTGAACTCCTGCAGCTTTTGGGATTTTGCGTACGGAGCCTTTTTTAAGAAGATGCATGGAGCAGTGGGATATTTTTAATTTGCATGACATAAAAAAATACTTGGTCCAGTAGCTCTTGTTACATTTATAACCTTAACAGTGTCATGAAAGAATTGGATCTTGATGTAATAGTTGATCAGTCTCTTAAGCCATCCAAGCAGTGTGCTGTTGCTAGTGGTAGGGCAAATAGGGTTTTAGGTTGTATCTACAGAAATATTGAATACAAGTCAAAAGAGGTTATAATTTCATTGTATGGATCATTGGTTCGGCCACATTTGGAGTATTGTGTTCAGTCTTGGGCTCTTTACTTTAGTAAGGATACTGAATTGTTGGAAAGGGTTCAGAGGAGGGTTACTAGAATGGTGCCTTGTTATACAAGGAGAGGCTGAAATCTCTCAGATTGTTTTCTGTTGAAAAAAGAAGAGTTAGAGGGGATCTGATTGAGTTGTTTAAGATTATAAAGGAAATTGATAGTGTTGGTGCATCATCTTTTTTCATATTTAACAGTGAGAACAGTTAGGACTAGGGGACACAAATATAAATTTTGGAAGGTAGGAGTCATCTTCAGCTAAGAAAGATTTATTTTTCTAACAGGGTGATTGGCCTTTGGAATGGGTTGTCTTCAGATGTTGTGGAAGCAGTAAATGTAAGTGAGTTTAAGAGAAAGCTTGATAAATATATGAATGAATGATAAGGCTGGCTTTAAGATTTTTTTTTTAATTTATTTATTAATAGTTTAGAGGATGGGGTAGCCAAGATGGACCAATAGGTCCCATGTCCCAAATGTAGTGGTTATTTTATTTTTTATTTAATTAAAATTTCCTGCCTATATAAACCAGAATTCTGCATTAACACAACCCCTGAACAACAAGCAAAAGTACCTGTCCCCGGTGACATAAAGTTTAAGTAATCTATCACTTTAAATTATTTCATGGACTGTTGGTTTCACTCGGAGCCAAAGCTCTGAGCTACTTATACCGCCCATCATGGAAAGTAATTGTTGATTATTTCAGTCATGCTAAGAGCATTAAAATTTCCTGCCTATATAAACCAGAATTCTGCATTAACACAACCCCTGAACAACAAGCAAAAGTACCTGTCCCCTAAATTAGGGTTGGCTAGAGCAAATAGCCCTCGTGTAGCTTTGTGCAAAAATTCAAAACCAACCAACAACAAATATACAATTAATTTCTAAAGTAAAATATTGCTTATATATATAGCTATGAAACTACATGCATGAAAAAAGTTTGATAACATTGTATATAAATATATGCGAAACATGAGCAAAAAAAGAAAACTTGTTCTTTTAGTATTGCCACATTTCATGTACAAAAAGTACACGTGCTCAGTTTTGGCAAGTATGTTTCAACTGGATTACATTTTCTTTCATGAAGCATAAATTATTGTTTAATCACTAATTGATGAAGACCTTCTGCTCAAAACGTTATTGTTAGTGCTCTACAAGTATATATATTTTTGTTTTCTTTAATCTGTTATTACTTTTTAATTTCATGCCTTCCTCGTACAGATTGGATGATTGCAATGATTTCGACTATTGTTTAATAAAAGCAAAATCATGAAGTTATATTCAAGATTGTGTGTATTTTGTAGGACAGTGAGGGTGAATGTAGATTTTTTATAAACAGATGAACTCCATATGCCAAATTCCTTTTAAACCTCAGAACTTCCTCTAATATACTAATCATCTTAAGAATGATTAATTTCATTGGAAATTGGTGTCCTATAAATACTTATGTAAACAGTAAAGTGTAAGAAATATAATAATATATAATGATGATGATTTTTTGTTTTGTTTTATTATTCTTTTTGAAAGCCACATAGCAAAACTAGGCTTAGCATGATGAACTGATAATTAGTGTAATTCTAATATTTTGTTTTGAAAGCCACATAGCAAAGTAGGCTTAGCGTGATGAACAGATAATTAGTGTAATTCTAATATTTTGTTTTGAAAGCCACATAGCAAAGTAGGCTTAGCATGATGAACAGATAATTAGTGTAATTCTAATATTCTTTTTGAAAGCCACATAGCAAAACTAGGCTCAGCTTGATGAACAGATAATTAGTGTAATTCTAATATTCTTTTTGAAAGCCACATAGCAAAACTAGGCTTAGCATGATGAACAGATAATTAGTGTAATTCTAATATTGTTTAACTTGTAACATTCAAATACATAAAGTAGATAAATCATATAAATACATTGTATACATAAACACCATACACTGTTGCAGTTTTTCAAAACATAACAATTATTTTAAGGTTTTAGTTAAAGTCTTCCTACACAGTTTTTAATCTTTCTGACATCAAAAGAATGTTTGTGTACATAATAAGGCTAGTTATTTGAAAAGTCATCTTATCATCTCCACTAAAATTGTATTACTATCAAATTTATCTATTTTTTGTCATTTATACTGAACCTGTGTTAATGGAAAATAGTTTGTTATCCTTATGTTCAACATTGATGTACAAAGTGAAACATTATGATTGTAATTTTTTCAAGATTGGCATACCTGGAAAACATACAGGAGAATACACATAGGGTATTGTCATATGAATGCTGGGAAGATGTTTAAATCCTGTCATTTCTGAGTGGCATTCATATTTAAGACACTGTCTTTATTAAATGACATTTTAGTTTATTTTGTAATGAGTTTTATTCTTCAAACATCGCTTTTCTTTTCAGAGTCTTGTTGGAGACATTGAACAGGGGCAGAAGTCACTGTATAATTATCACCAAGTGTGGCGCCAATATGGATTTATTCCAGAGTTTTATGATATTCCTCATAGTCATGTCACAAAGAAAAGAGAAGGATATCCTCTAAGACCGGGTGAGGAACACAGTAAACTCGTTCGCAACAATAATTCCGTATCTTAGTTGTCACAAATTAGCTAAGTTAAACAGTATTAATAATTAAAGAAGATATAAAAATGATATAAGCAGACATTATTAAAATGTATGATGTATCTTAATGGCGTTTTTAAATACTTCTTTTTGATATTCCAACTGGAAAGTCCTTGTTATCTTGCACAGAAATTATCAAACGTTTTCATTGTACGGTAACAAGTTTCCGTTGAGATGGCCAAGTGGTTAGGGAGTTTGACTCGCAATCTGCGGGTCGTGGGTTTGATTCCTCGTCCCAATTTTTCAACCATGGGGGCATTATAATGTGACGGTCAATCCCACTATTCATTGGTAAAAGAGTAGCCCAAGACTTGGCAGTGGGTGGTGATGACTAGCTGCCTTCCATCTAGTCTTACACTGCTAAGCTAAGGAGAGCTCGTGCACATAGCCCTTGTGTAGCTTTGCGCAAAATTCAAAACAAACAAACAATCATTTGAGACATATGTTACATTGTTAAATTCACCTTTTATTAGGTCATTAGTTTACATTGCATCGTACACTGAAATCGTAGAGATATTTTAATAAATTATAAACACTTTTATTTGTGTTTCAATGTGGTTTCAGTTTCCAAAAATTAAGTTCAATTCAGCAAGTTTAACTTACACATGACTTTGAAATAGTCTAACTTGAATTAGGCTAAAATAATATGCATATCTTAATTTTTATTACAATTTTTAGCACCCTAATGGCTCAGCAGTGAGTCTGAAGGCTTATAATACTGAAAAACCAGGTGTTATATCCATGGTGGACTTTGAGCTTAACAAGAAACAAACAAACAATTACAATTGTCTCTTATTGTGACTCATAAAAATCGCTCAGGGCTAGTTATTAGTAACTACATAAACTAAAATGACTGTTAACCCTAACTAAGATCCTTTCCTTATGACATCTTGCCATAAAATAGGCTGGCTGTGTCAGCTGTTGGTCTTTATAAGTTCTACAAAACAATGCTCTATGGAATTCACATGCAAGTTTCGGTGATGAAAGCTTTTTTTTTTCTTTCATAACAACAGCATCTAAATAAGATAGCTGCCAATGATAAGTTGATAAGATTCATTGTTATTATGTTTTATCAATGAATATTAAGTCCCATTATTGTGTTGATAAGATTCATTGTTATTATGTTTTATCAATGAATATTAAGTCCCATTATTGTGTTGATAAGATTCATTGTTATTATGTTTTATCAATGAATATTAAGTCCCATTATTGTATACACTGAAGAGTAATATTTGAATAATGATATAAAATATGTACACTATTATGTGCTGGAACTATATAAGTTAAAGCCCTTCTAACTTCATATGAAACTGTATAATAACTGTATGATTTTTGTAACGATAACGAGAAAATGTAGGTAAACACTATGCACGTAATGGATGCTTTCTCTCTCTCTCTCTGTGTTTCGCCACCTGGGAGTAACGAACCGCGTGGATTCTTATTACTCCTTTCATTTAACAATCCCAGGTTTTAACAATATCAAACATACATCTCTGGAATCTAATCTTCACATAGTGGCTATGTTACGGTGATACGAATGCTAAAACTGTCAATATAAATCATGGCATTGAAAGAATAATAGATGTACAAGAAACGGATGATATAAACGATAATGGCAGCCATTTTATCACTTTTTGTGTACTAAATAATCTAGTTATTGGTCGAAGTATATTTGATATAAAGATACGCATAGATATAGTTGATATATAGATATTCTAAAAAAATGCTAAGTAGGGGATTATGAGTATGATTTATAAATACCATGTCAAAGAATATAACCAGTGGCATGGTGGCACTTAGGACAGCAGTGGGCTCTGAAAACAGTTACATTTTCGTCTGCAAAGTGAAGGCTAAAGTTATGGTATCAAACTTTTCAACCATTAGAATGAAGAAAGACACATCTTTCGTTAATAAACAAGGATTTGAAATATTCACAAACTTTCACCAACCAACAGCTGTTTCAATGAGAAGGATGAAGTAATATCTGGAATCCTGTTAATGTTAGGATTTTATCTACAAAGTTTAAGTCTAAATAATATCATGTTATGCACCAACAATTGAATCTGATGACAAGCAGAAAGATGAATATTATGATGCTCGACGAAGTGAAATGGATGAAGTGACTGGAAGAGAGGCTTTAATCTAAGCTGTGCTGAAAATATTAAAAAATTTCATATTTTTTTCATTCCAGACTATAAATCAATTAACACTTCAGTGATTTCTATCATTTGTTTACGGCACATCCTCGATTAACGCTTCAGTGATTTCTATCATTTGTTTACGGCACATCCTCGATTAACGCTTCAGTGATTTCTATCATTTGTTTACGGCACATCCTCGATTAACACTTCAGTGATTTCCATCATTTGAACATGGCCTGAAAAAAGCTGTTCTTAATATATATAAAGACATTCATTTTTCAATATTTTAGGCTACATAAATCTTGGTTTCGTTTTTTTTTGTAAAAACTTGTGTTTTCAGAATGTGTCCGGTCTTCAAAGACATATATATATTGTTTTAGAAACAATAGTTACTTCTTTGGTTGTATTACAGAATTGTCAAACATGTAAAATTATTTGATAAAACATTTTATGAAGTCTATACTATTTACAAAATCTTTAAAGCTTAATAATTTTTTTTTTGCTTACTTTTTAAGCCTGACCACACTTCATTGCTGTTGTTGTTTTTTTTTCAGAATTCATAGAGAGTGCAATGTATCTATATCAAGCTACGAGAGACCCTCTTCTACTGCAGCTTGGTGTTGACGTTCTGGAATCTATCGAACACAGCTCCCGAACCAGCTGTGGCTATGCTACGGTAACCACTTTTTTTTTAGTTTCTTTTATGTTAATTTATCTTCCTCCAATATTAATGTGGAATTCCCGAGAAGATGTTTCTAGAAACAAATCTGTTATCTTGCACCAAGTGTCTTAAAGATAAACAGAACATAAAATGTTAATATATTAAAGTAATTACAAAGAGAAAAAGGACATATTATCAGTAAATTTTATCTTGTAACTGAACTGTTTTAAAGCCCTTCTCTCTCTCTCTCTAATACATGCCTCCCAGTGGCACAGCAGTATGTCTACAGACTTACAGTGCTAGAAACCGGGTTTTGATACCTGTGGTGGAAAGAGCACAGATAGCCCATTGCGTAGCTTTGGCTTTGTGCAAAACTTCAATAAAACAAACTGTAACATAAAAAATTATTTAATGTTACGGTGTTCTCAGTTGAGGAATATGTGTTATTTGTCTATTGTTGTGATACAAATATAATTCACGTACATTGTAACTTTGCATTTCTATTTTCAGCATAAAATTGGAAAAGTATTTACATGCTAGTGTTTCTGTACGAAAGCCATTGTTAAAGCACTTTATAAAATGCTAGGGTAGCAATAATTAAATCAAATTCGTAGGTAATTTGCTGTTACGAAGCTTTGTTTATTTAGAAATATAATATCCATTTAAATAAGGTTTTATCTCTTTAACTGGTGATGCAACAAAGGATTAATTATTGTAGCGACTGGTGATGCAACCAAGGATTAATTATTGTAATGACTGGTGATGTGACAAAGGATTAATTATTGTAATGACTGGTGATGTAACAAAAGATTAATTATTGTAACGACTGGTGATGCAACAAAGGATTAATTATTGTAATGACTGGTGATGTAACAAAGGATTAATTATTGTAACAACTGGTGATGCAACAAGTGAAATTCCAATTGAAGTACTATATTCTTGATTAAAACGTGTACTAAATATGCACAAATCTCTCACATTACTCAGTCAGCTGTACCTCTCCAACATGAAATTTAAATGATTGAAAAGCAGTAATAATAAAAGAACACAATATCGTATACAGCGATTAGTGAAAAAACTTAACAACTTCCTGATCAGGGGTCATGTAGATGTTTGTTGACCAGTTTTTTTCCTGCCAGAAGACAACATGAGACTGATATCGGACTTCTGACAGTTTGTTCCATTTACTGTGTTTTTTTCACTGAATAGTTGTATTAAATGCTGAAGTGGGTCAAAGTAAATCCAACATAATGTAGCCTAAGTGATTGATTAAACATGTTTTAAAAAGGTGTGGAGTATAGGAAATAGTATTGAACTACTTAATACTGTATTTACGTATGAAATATACAATCTTACTATAATGAACATAGCGTGTATATATGTATCTATATATGTATGTGACCGAAATAATAAATACAATGTGGCGCCATCTATTAAATGGCACCACAATCACAAATCCTTTAAAAAATTTCACACTTTGGGTATTCAAGATTCAGACAATTAGAAAAATAACTGTGGTATGTGCAACAACCATTTCTTTATAATAGAGCAAAACTTTAAATAAAAGTACTCTCCTCACAATTATTGATGTAATTTTTAAATATAAAACAAAAAAAGTGGAGATCTTAAGAAAAACTTATTTTTTCAATAAAGGGTATCACTTTTAATATATATAAGAGCATTACAGTTGATATCAGCCCAATCCAAACACTTTTCCCATGCAATACTTCCCAGAAAAAAACTTTTTTTTTTAGAAAATGTTCACTTTTTTTTTTAAATTGCTTTTCAATGAGGTATGAAGACTACGATTAGTAATTACTAGTACAAACAGTCGCCCATAGGGAGGCGTTTCTGTGCACCTTATCCCAGAATTCGAAGATATTCTCTCTAACATGTACCAGAATTTAAGTTTACTAGCAGAAACGCCTCCCTATGGGCGACTGTTTGTAAAGCTTAATAATTTTTTTTTTGTTCGTACTTTTTAAGTTTACGCTACGACCACT